AGGCAGGGGTCAGGGCATGCCAGGGTATGTCTAGGCCTGTCTAAAGCAGCAGCCAAGCATTTTACAGAAGCTAAAAGAGCAATTAGTAGGGGTCTGGAGGGATTTGGGGGTAGTGGGTGAATGAAGAGGGTCTCAGGGCTCTACATTCCCCCTTGTCTTGTAACTGGGAAACCCAATCATGGGTTCTGGTCGGCCAGCTCACAGGTATCTGGGGGGACCATGCTAAGGGGCATATAGACTTGTTGCCTCTGGACCATAAGTTGGATGGTGCCTAACCTGTCCTTCATGAACTGTAGTAATCTATTGAGGATGCATGGCCCAAAGGTGAGTATTAAAAATAAAACTATAAGGGGACCTAAGAGGGTGGAGATGAGGGTTGTCAACCAGGGAGATTGGCTGAACCATGACTCAAACCATCCCTGTCTGGCCTCTCGTTCAAGTCTCCTCTGTTCCAACCCTTCTCTTATTTTGGCCATGTTATCCTTTATTAATCCTGAGTGGTCCCTATAAAAACAGCATTCTTAGGACGGCACATAGACCACCCTGCTGTAAGAATAGGAGGTCTAATCCCCTACGATTTTGCAGGGCTAGCTCAGCCATTGAGCTCAGGGAGTCTTGTAGGTGAGTAATTGACTCCTCAACTCGTCAGAGGTCTGAATCTAAGCTGGCTCTGAGCTGGGAATAATGCTGATCTTGTCTTGCCAAGGCTTTGGCTCCTGTCCTTATCCCAGCAGCAGTCCCTATCCCAATGAGGAGACTTAAGGTTACTGCGGTTATTGGCTCCCTTCTAAGTCTAGTGAGGCCGGTAGTTCTTGGGCCTTTTAGACTAGTATAGAGGGTTAAGAAATCTTCATGAGTGTGGTAGATGACTCTAGGCAGGAGTCTGATAATAACACAGAAAACAGATGTTCTCTGCAGGACTCCTGGAACTCACTATGTAGACCAGTCTGGCCTTGAACTCACAGAGATCTGCCTGCCTCTGCTGGGATTAAAGGCATGCCCCACCACGCCAGACACTCTCTGTTTTTATTACCAACTGATAACACAGTCTAGTTGTTGCCAGCATAATAGGGATAGGCTCAAAATACTAGTCAAGGAAAGCATCCCACAAACCAGTCAACTGCAGTTTTGGGTGCTCTGCTCCAGCAAACGTCCAAATCTCATCAATGACCTGGAAATAAAGATCTTCTATACAGAATGACTTAATTTTTCCATGTGCCAAAGAGATCCCTTCAGAGACCAAAAGATGCTTTAAAGCCATTTACTTTTCTTTTCAGTATTTTATATCTATCTATCTATCTATCTATCTAATCTAGAGAGAGACACTGCCGGCCAG